GGGCGCCCCCACCCGTCCACCCGGCTCAGGGACCGCTCTTTGAAGTTTTAAAGAAAAAGAAAAATTAAAGGGAGGAAAATCGGATGTGCTTCGTCTTTGTCTCCCAAACTAAGCATGTTTTTCTGATTTTTCTTTTCTTTCACCTCCCTTTTATTTTCCTGTAATTTCCTTTTACCGTCTTTTCGTTTTATTTCTGAAAGCTCTGTGTGCGTGGGAGAGAGACAGAGACAGAGACAGAGAGACAGAGACAATACAGAGAGGAGAGAGAATCTCTGGTATTAGCAAAGCCAGCACTGAGCAACAGCCAAAATAAATAAATAAATAAATAAATAAATAAACAAATAAATAAAAATAAAAAAGAAAGAAAAGGAAGAAACTACTTCGATTTATTGAACGCTTCCAATCCATGCAATTAGTTCCCACCATTTCTGCCTTTCCTGGGGGTCTCTTTCCCAAGCTCTCTAAGTTAAAGGTAACTGGGAGGAACCGTCTTGCACTTGCCACTCCTAATTTGTGGCCCTGGGAGTCATTTAAAACCGTTTTTGGAAACAATGATAGAAATACTAAAAGTCACAACGAACAGCATTTCCGTCTTGGATGAAATTTCTCCTGCTTTTCGTGCAGCCCCGCTCCCCAGCAGCAGCAAGGCGGGCGGCCGTGCTGCTTGGCTGGGGCTGGGCTTTCGCGTCTGTTTCCACAGGGGTCGGCTGACCTGTGGGCCATCCTCCTCCCCAGCGGCCCTGGCCTCGCTGTTGCCAGGAAGGTTTCCTTCCCTAGCACCCGGTCACCAACTTGCAGCAAGCTGCACTTTTCCTTTTAGCCAGTACTTCCGACCACTTCACCTTCCTTGAAATTTTGTAATATAAATTGAGACATTTTGGGCCCAATTTTGGAGTCTCCAGGAACTCAGAGGGTCAGGTCATTAGGAATGTTAACACGGCGACCAAGAATTATAAACATGATCTAAAAGTCTCTTCCAATTCATTTCTTGGAGTATTTATTTGAGCTAAGTGATGAAAAGTGACAGTTGTGAAACAGACAGCTTTTAAAAGTAATGCAGTCAGATGAGGCTTTAACCTGTCGATTGCTATAAATCAACTTTGAAAAAGATGAGTGAAGAATGTTATTTGGGCACCTAACTGCCAGAATTTGCCAGTATTTGCTGTCCAGCCAACTGGCCAGCACCACAGGGATGGCCGGATCCAGGGCATCTCAGATCAGGGTCCCAGGTGGTTTGGGACTGAACTACTGGAAGGCAACATCCTGCGCGTGTGTGTGTGTGTGTGTGTGTGTGTGTGTGTGTGCGCGCACCATTTCCAGTTAGGCGTTGGCAGTTGGTCTGGGCCACTGCTGTGTGTCTGGTCTGGAGACCCAGCACGGTTGGGAATTCTGAGGTGCTGACACCCAGGGGACCAAACCCACTCTGCAGCTGGAAGTTCAGCCCAGCTCTGCAGAAGATGGGGAAGAATCCGGCCTGCTAGGCTCCCTGAATCTTCTTCCTAACACTTGGGAAGTGGTGGTGGGAACAGGCTTGGGGTTGGAGGTAGGTCGAGGAGCAGAGATGTCTCCAGGCTCTGAAAGTGGCATGGGGTTTTGGGTGACACACAGAGGCGTTCATCTTTGAAGTAAAGCCTAGGGAAAGCAGGGCCAGCTGGCGGGTAGAAAAGGCCTGTAGAGGTCTTGGGGCGAAGAGTCTGGATGCTGCCCTTGCCCCAGCTGAGGTGCTCACACCTGGTTTCTAGAACGGGTGAGCTGATGGTGTGCTTCTTTATGCATACTCTTGGAGACCCCGCAGGCAGCTAGAGCTGCATTTCAGTCCCAGCGAGGGGAAGGGGTGTCCTTCCTCCAGTGACTTCTTTACCACCCGCCACCCCTCTGGTGCTTCCTCACCTCAGCGGTGAGCTGCAGACCTGCAAAGTCCGCGGTTTCTCCCCCAGCACTTCCTCCCTCAAGGATGGCACAGAGGCCTCCTCCACTGCCCTGGTCACCCGCATCCTCCCAAAGAGGCTCTGGGCTGCTGGAGCATCCGCAGCAGGTCAGGCGGGGCCCCCTCTCCGTCCTCCTCTCTCTCCGGGGTCCACTGGGCAGAAGGGGTGCTCTGCTTCCCCTTCCCCTGTTGCCTGCACAGAACGACCCACAGGAGGTGAGGAGGCCGCGCCC